CCGGAAGTGGCACTGTAGCTCAAGTGGTAGAGCGCTCGCCTTGAGCTGAAGAGCTGAGGGACAGCGCCCAGGCCCAGAGTTCAAGCCCCACGACCGACCAAAAAAAAAAAAAAAGAATTCAGCCACTACATTTTCTGAGAGCAGGGAGTATGGATACCTTTGTTATCATCCCTGACTTCAGCGGAAATTGTTCCATTTTTTAAAGTTTACCCCCATTTTTTGTAAAATATTAGTTCTATATTTAGTATAGCCTTTGTTATGTTTAGGTTTATTCCCTCCTGACAAAGAATATATGATACACATACTCTACGATATTCAAACATGTTGAAAATTGAACTTATGTCCCTTGCAGGAAATCATTGAACACAATAAGCCAAGCTCACAAAGACAAATAAATATAGTCAATTTTTCCTCATTTGCAGAAAGACTTTTATAAATGACACAAATGGTTGGATGTTGGTTGCTCCCACCTGTAATCCTAGCTGCTCAGGTGGCTGAGATCTGAGGATCACAGTTCAAATGCAGCCCAAGCAGGAAAATCCATGACATTCTTAAAAGCTGGAAGTAGCAAAAATCTTGAATAAACTGTCCCTCAACATTTCAGCAAGAATCAGAATAATTTGTCTTACTAGTTGGATGTCCATGATTCAGAAAAATCATTTTAATCATTGAACCACTGGACCATTCACTCCATAGCCTTTAATATTTCACCTTCATTCCTGACTACATTGGTGAATCTGATTCATGATCCAATCTAATATTCCAGAGGACAATGAAGATAGGTTGATTGATAGGTACCACCAAATGTGTTTACTTCTTGATTTATGGGAACATTCTAGCTACCACAAATGAGAGAAACCATTCAACCAACATTTCTCTGGGTCTAGTCTACTTCACTTAATATAATTTTTCCAAGTCTTTCCATTCCCTTATGAATGGATTCTTAAATATTTGGTAGATGTTAGATAAACCATCTGGTCCTGGACTGTTTTCTTGTCTGGAGGTGTTTCTTTGTTATTTGGCAGTACTGGGGTTTGAATTCAGGGCCTGATGCTTCCTATGCAACAGTGCTGTATAACTTCTGCAACATAGATCTCCAGCTGCTGAAAGCTTTGTTTTTTTTCCTGATAATTATTTTTACCTTTGTGGATTATTTGGACTTTCTAGTTTCTCTGGCAATTTGTGGGTTTCTAGTAATTACCTAATTTGTTAGCATACAATTGTTCACAGTATTCTCATATTCCTTTAACTTTGGTAAAATTGGTTGCAATGTTATGTCTAGTTTCAATTACAGCTCTCATTTCTTAGCATGATTAGGTTTAAAAAAATCTATCAGGAAGTGGTGCTGTGCCTCAAGCGGTAGAGCGCTTGCCTTGAGCTGAAGAGCACAAGGACAGCACCCAAGCCCAGAGTTCAAGCCCCGCGACAAAAAACAAAAATCTATCAATTTTTGTTAACATTTTCAAAGTTAAAACTTTGGATTTCATTGATTCTATTGTTTTTCAGTTTTCTATTTCATTTATCTCCATGGTAGGTGTCATATCCTCACCCTTTCCAGTTTTGGGGTTAGTTGACTGTTTTATCATTAATTAAAGTAGAAAATTAGATTATTTTTGTACTTTTTTATTGTAAAGAGAGGGGTTACAGTTACATGAGCAAGGTAATGAGTACATTTCCTATTGAGCATTGTTGCCTCCTCCTTTATTTTCCCCCTACCATCCCTTCCATACCACCTCCACAGAAAATTAGATTATTAATCAGAAACTTACTACTTCTTTTAATTCCCCTTGAAATTTTCCCTTTACTATATTCTTTACTTTTTGTCATCTTCATTTTTGTTTATAAAGTACTTTCAAATGTTCTTTTGATTTATACTTTGGCTCATTGTTAATGTATACTGCTTGATTTTCACATATTTGTGAAGTTTTCACTTTATAACTTCATTCCATTCTATTGACAGGAAATAATTTGTATTATTTCAATACTTTAAAATGTATTGGGCATTTGTTTTTATGTGTAATATATGGTATATCTCTCTGTGAGAACATGCTAGGGACACTTGAGTAGTATGTATACTCTGAAATTTTTAGTGGAATAATTTATATATGTCTAGCTTTACAATATTCATGCCTTTGTCATTGTTGTGAGAATAAATAGGTAGATAGTTTTATTTATTTTGTCCTGTGAGAATTACAATTAATGTTCCTTTTATAACAATCTTGTTTGAATGTATATCAATAAAGCTTCAATGGCATACAAAACAATTTTCATAGATAGCTCTAAACTCATTTGTGTGATTCTTCTCCCAAATATATCTTTATACATTGTGTATCCATCATCATGAATTTATAATAATTTATTTTGTGTTTTAGCCTTCTAAATCATATGGAAAACAGAAAGAGGAGTTAATAAAGCAAGTATATTATGTTTGTTTTATATTTAATTTTGTTGTTGCCTCTTCCAGGGTTCTTTATTTCTTAATGTGAGTTCAAGTCACTATCTAGAATCTATTCCTTCCAGCCTGAAAGACTTCCTTGGTGACGAACTGACTAAACTTTTCTTTATCTGGGAATACACATTTTTTTGTTTGTTTTTTGCTGGTCCTAGGGCTTGAACCCTGGGCCCAGGCACTGTTTCTATGATTTTTGTGCTCAAGGCTAGCGCTCTACTACTTGAGCAGCTCCATTTCCAGCTTTTTGTGGTTAATTCGAGATGAGTCTCATAAACTTTTCTGCCTGAGCTAGCTTCCAACCATGATCCTCATATTCAGCCTCCCAAGTAGCTAGGACTATAGGCATGAGTCAATGGCGCCTGGCTCTCCTACATGTTTTAAGAATAATTTTATTTCCTCTTCAGAGAAGTGAACTCCAAATAGAGACACAAGTGGTTTTATCTTTCTTGCTGTTGTTTCTAATGTATTTATGATGTATCATGTGATTGTTTTGTTTCTTTTGTATATTCTTCCCCCACAGAATAACCCCTGTTTTCACTGTGCCCTGCATCTGAATATACATTGTTCTAATTTGGGGAGAGGAAGGGAAATAAAATGATGAAATAAAAATATAGATTGACCCATTGTAACAATAAGATGTATAAGACTCTATGTTGAAAATGAACTTTACAACTAAGGGGGGAGAAGAGGTGGTAAGGTGGGGAGGGAAGGGATGGTAGGGGAAAAACAAGAGGAGCTAACAATGCTCAATAGGAAATGTACTCATTACCTTATGTAACTGCAACCCCTCTGTACAGTATTTTTACAATAAAAATATACAAAAAATGAATTTTTCCAAGTATAGAGCTCTTCATTAGCAGTTTTTAAAATTCTACATTTAAATTATGCCATTCCAATGCCTTTGGGACTACATGTTTTTATGAGAAATTTGTATTCTTATTATTAGTTATTATTTGAACACTGAATCACTTTTGCTGCTTGGAACATTTTCTCTCTTTGGCCACAGATGCCACATTTTCTACAGCAAGGCTGAATGGCTGCCCTAAGGATGATAACTTTGGATCAAATGATAAAGGAGTATAACCCCCCTCAATAAAAGGTGGAGATAAAAAGATAAGATTATTTAGAAAGGCAGATAAGCAAGCTGCTAAGGGAACTATCTAGGCAACTCCGCAACAGAATTGCTCATTTGAAAATCCAAAGTGTTTTGTTCCCACATGGTAAGTTTTCCTGATGGACCTCAGTTGATGATTGCAAAGGATAATCTGCTTGTTTTCCAGAAAATAGGCTCCAGGGCTATTTCTCAAGAAAAGAGCCCTTTTGGGGGTGTGGGGGCGGCTGCAATATTAATGCATGGAGTAGCACTGCCATCTGCAGACTTGTGATTCCAACAGCCACCAATTCTGGAGGAAAAGTGACATTTTCAGTTCCTTGTGGTCTGAAGGCATGGAGATCTTAGCTGGAGAAGTCAAGTAAGCTAAAAACAAGGACAAAAGAATAAACTGGTATCGACAAGAGTGGTCCCTGTGATTTGTTTCCAGTGTGGAAAGAATCCTTTTCCTGCCCTTCCATGGAAACCACAGGAACAGCCACAGGCAGGCCCTGACAAGCATGGAATTTTCAGCTGCTCAGGGACTAGGATTAGTGGATTATGGACCTATATGGGAGGAGGGGGGAGAAAAGTAAGGCCACTGTCACTCCTAGGATTCTTCTGCATTTTCCTTCAGTGCTATAGTTATCTGTAGGGTAAGAAATGGCACAAGTGGTATCCAGAACCTACCCTCCAACTGTCCCCTCAGCTCTACCTCTGAGATCTGCAACAGTCTTCTGGACATGCTCCTCTTACTCACCCCAACCTTCTGACATACTTCTCCTGTGGTACTGTCACTGCCTTCTTCTCATCCCTGTGATTCCAAGTACACACTTCAGAGTTAATGAGGCAGAGCAAACTATATTGAGCCTCTCCTCCTAGGAGGTGTTCTCTTTCTCCTAAATCTCTCCTCCCAGGTCAGAAGAACATAACCACCCATGGTGCTCTCTCTCTCTCTCTCTCTCTCTCTCTCTCTCTCTCTCCCCCTTCCTCTTTGAAGCAATGTATATATACTCTACTCTCCTTCCAGCTCCCTCTCTAAAGCTTCAGCATCCACAGCTTTCAGCCTTCTGGAGGCCTCCATAGCACTGATTGCTTCCACCTTCATTCCAATCTGTCCATCAGATCCTTCCTTACCAAGCTTACCTACAGCTATGAACTCTCCCTCTGACAGGCTTCTTCTCCCTTGTCCCTTCTCTGTAACCTCCTGGCAATATACCTAAATAGACAAAGTCTGTACCTTTTACATGGGGACTTTCCCTTTTGTTTACATATAAGAGCTCTCCATCAGCAAGGGAAAAAAACCTCATGAGATTCACTATTTGTTCATTGAGAAATGAGATTTTAGATGAAAACTCTTGATACCTCCAACCACACTGAACATTATTTCTAATATCTGGAGGAGGTGACCTGATCTTATTTGATGTTAGGCTCTTGGCCAAAATGTCTTCTCTCCTTTCTTCTCTGCTTTTTCTGTAGTACTAGGGTTGGAACTCAAAACATTATTTTTTCTGGGCTGGTACAGTACCATTGAGCTGCTCCTCCTTCCCTGCTCTTTACTGGTTATCTCTGGATAGGGTCTCAATAATTTCCCAAGTGTTCATCTGAGCTTCAATATGCCTGCTTTTAACTTTATCATCATTATTGAGCCTCATCATCACTAGCCTTCTTCTATGGAGATAGTTTTATTGACTTTTGTGCCTGGGCTAACCTAGCACCACAGCCTCCCAAATAGCTTGGAATGTTAATCACAAGTTACTGCATCCAACTACAAATTGAAAAGATATCTTTGTGAGATTTTTCCTATTGGATTGGCTTCAAATGGTTACTCACCCATGCTCAGCTTCCTAAACAGCTAGGATTAGAAGCATGAAGCACCTAGGTTCTGCCTCTTTCCATTGTTCTAAGGGCTTGACTTGCAGTTAAACTTTCCTTTGATATATCACGCTCTTCCTCTGTACCACCTGATGCTATCATGCATAAAAGTTTGCCTTTTAGGAACTTAACTTTATGAAGCCCATCATGGTTCTCTTGTATTGTGAGCTCCTAGCACAGGGTTGCTTTCTTTTGGAAGGAGATTATAGAAAAATGGATGAGTCAAGAGCCAGGTATTACCATGAAGGAGGCTTAAGCCAGCCAGGGACTACTTGTTCTTGCAGCTGAGGCTATGAGCATAGCCATGAGCACAGGAGGAAGGATGGAACATGAGACCAAGGTTCAGAGGAGTCTTCAACTACATGCCCAGTGGACTGAGGCTGAATTTTTTGGCCTGAGAGACACAAAATGCAAAGTCAACAACCAGGTCAGTATCACCAGTAGGACCAAGGAAAGAAGTAACATTGATAATAATGTGAGAATGTCACAGATCCCTACTCTGTATCACTATGGACACTCTAAAGCCATACAGACCCCTTTCTATCTTGAAAATCAGAAGTCAGTTACAGTAGAAGTGTGAGAGAGTTCATTTTCACCAAAACAGACTGGTACTTATTTGAATGTACATCATTATTGTATCATGTAGCACTAGAATAGATATAATTCCAGTACTGCCCCCATCTCGCCTATTTATCTAGTTTAGAGCATTGTCAGGATGAAGATCAGGTGAGATAAAGCAAATGTCCCTATGTGCTTATAGGGCCTGAGGGACACAAGTAAATAAGTAATCTCTGTACAGCATCTCCACAGATTCCCTCTTTGCCCTCTCTTGTCAGTCCTCATTGTCACCGGTATGTGGTTCCTTGCCTTCTCTTTTCCCTATGCAAGGAAAAAAATTCAACCCTCATAATGAGATTCCCCATAATGATCACAGAAAAGAGAAAAGAGCAGAAGACATAAACAAAGAGTGGAGTCACAGATGACAATTTTCCCTGAGATGATCATGGTCTTGGAGCTCATCCTTGTTACCTCCTCCCCAACCCTCCATGAACCACAGGCTCCTTGCTCAGTCATTGAATAAAGTAAAATAACATGTATACATTTCATTAATGTAAAGAATATGTTCACTTCCCCTAAATACCCCCCCACTGCTTTGGAGGTACTGGGGCTAGAAATCAAGGTCATATATATGGCAGGTAAAGCTCTCTATCACTTGAGACACACTCTAGCTTTTTCATTTGTATCTCTTTTTTTTTTGAGATAAGAACTTGCTAACCTTGCCTAGGCTAGTCTCAAACTCTAAGTCCTCCCAATCTAACCTTCCAAGTATTTAGGATTACAGACAAGCAACATCACATCCATCTCACTAATATTTAATATTGCATTTTCTGGTAAGTTATTAAGTTTCTTGTTTTTGAACATAGTATGGTTTGAAATCAAAGCATGTATGTTTGATAAGAAATCACTGCACTACTTGATTGACACCATTAAGGCTTTTATTCACTTACATTTGTATTTATATTAGTCTGTTTTAAATGGATCTAGTAAAATCAATGAGGCATTAAAGAAAATAGTTCCATATAGTTCACAGTTTAGGAAGCAAAATTCATACAGCACAATTGTAAAGTGAGGAACCCTTGACTATATCATCACATGATGATGGCAGTGGCACAAACACATATTAAAGATGAAGAGAAATATGAAAGCACAATTACTCTTATCACAGGTCATACTTCAAAAGGAGATAGCCTAGGAAGAATTATCTCAAACCAAGATTAGCCCTACATGCTTGGAAACCAGCTTTTAGAGTTCTGGTCAACCCTACTGAACAGCTCCCACACACTCTTGGCCTTTCAATCCTGAATCATCATTGGTCACAAGAGTCTATTAAGGTTCCCAAACCCCACCCACCTGCCTCCATCTTCTCACCCACCCTTCATGCACCACTGATTTCCACATAGATGTCATGTCTCAAACTCAACAATAGACTTTCAGCACTCATACACTTAGCCAATTAGGATGTATTTATGGGAAGTCCAGCTTTTCCTGTTTTCTGGAGTATATACAACACAATAGAGTCCACGTACTCCAGCTGAAAGTCAATTTGCAGTGGGTGAACCCTCTGCCAGGGAAAGAGGTATTGGGGATTAACATTGTATTAATTGCTGGGTAGGCCCTGTGATTGAAAGCCTTGAAAAAGCCTTAGAGAGGAGTTCCAGGAAGATGGCGGAGGAGAAGCTGGAGGCTAAACAAGCTCTTGCATAGAAAGCAGTTTTAGTGTTCCAGTGAACAGTCCTAAGCCAGAAAATCACATCAAGTGTGCCATCACAGGACAGAGAATTAGGCCAGAGAAGGAAAATCCAGGCAAGGAGACAGATCTGAGCACTTGCCAGCAGCCGTGACTGCAGCTGCAGCGGTAGTGGTTGCTGTAGCCGCCATACCTGCAACACAGAGAGTCCAGGACAAAGGCGCTAGATGCGGCAGGCGAGGGGATTCTACTCAACACCAGCAAGAACTGACAAGGAGCAGACATCTTCATTCTGCAGTTAGCAGACCAGAGACGACCCAGGAACCAAGACTCCAGCATGAGTAGAAGCCTGACATCCTCACTCTTTCTCAGGGAGCAGAGGAGGGAAGGCCACCCCTCCCTCCCCCCACTACCGGAGATCTCCATCTTTGATACAAAGGCCTGGCTGAGCAGCTAGCTCCAACTCAGGCCTTGGAAGAAAACAAGAGTCATTTAACAGGTCACAGGAACCTAACCTGATGTGCCAGGCTCAGCTCCCCCTAGGGAAAAGTCACCCAGCCCAGGCCACCAGCCCCAGGAAGGGCTTTCTTCATTGAGAAACAGAGCCACAGGCTGCCCCTCCCTACAGCAGCCTAGACAATCAATTGAAATTCAGTAAACATAAACCCTGAGAATGGCTCCAGGCTGGGCTCTGTGATTTCTCAGAAGCTAGCTCCTCAGGGAAAAGCTGCTGTTTGATGAAAGGCCTCAACTCTACCCAGAACCTAGCCTCATCACAGGATCTCCAAACGAGAGGAAATAGCCATCTCCCTCTTTTGTGATACTCAAAGCAGATCTCCCTCCCATTGAACTAGCTTGCGAGGAGGATCACAAAATCCTGGGTAAAGCAGAACATTTTTCTGCCTGCTCAAATAAACTGACTTAAGAAACCATCCAAGCCACAGGAAAATTAAACATCACAAGCAGACCAGAGACTCCAACAAGAGACTGGTTATGAAAGACCCCAGACTCCTGGGATACTTTCGTCAACGGGAGGGCGCCCCAGAGACCAAGACTCCAAACCAGTAGATGCAACAAGCAAGAGGAGTTTATTCAGCGTTTGCACAAACGGTCTCTCTGCCTCGGCACAGGAGAGAGCCCCCAATCTCGGTTACAGGCATTCTTAAAGGCAAAAACCACAAGATTAGCATATAACACCAGGTGTCCCCGGGATTGGCCCATTTAAAAGTCACTATGTACTCCAGCAATCATTTTTACTAAGAGGGGAAGTTTATAACACTCTTTGTAAAACAGTTGGCTCAGGGCAAGTCTAGGGGGAGCGGTCACCCTGGAGGGGAGTTTACATAGTTACAGGCTTGTGATTGATTAACATTTGGCCTAGTTTGCTGGACTTGCCAGGTGGTCCTTATCTTGGGTCCTTATCTTGGGTCCCATTCTTGGGTCCCATTTGACCACTTGGGGAATTTTCTTGTTTGTTCTTTATTTATGACCACAGACCTTGTCCTGGGGGGCATCTGGGCTCCAAGACTCTACTCAATTCCTTATTTCCAGAAAATGGGGGGTTAGTGCTAGGCTGAGCAAGTTTACAAAAGCAAAATCAGCAGTTAGTAATTGTAAAATGTATCTCTAATTTTTAATCTTTCAGTTACAGACACAAGGGAGATACAGGATCTTCCCATCCCCCCAAAAATCAAAGAACTCTTTTTCTGTACCTTCTATAAAAATTTTTTTTCTAAAACTTTTTTTTAATTTTTCACTTTAAAAAATTGTTGTTTTCTATTCTTTTTTTCTTCCTCTTATAATTTTTATTTTAGGAGTATATGTGTGTATACTTTTTTTCTTTTTTTCATTTTAAAAATTTGTGTTTTTTTTAGCTCTACTGACCATTTGATCCTTTTTTTCTTTCCTTCTCATTCTTTTCACTTTTTCTTCTCTTTCATTTTTCTTTGCATGACTTAATTGCTGTTCTGCTCATCCTCAGATATACCCGTAGTCGATTATTAGACCTTAGACCCCATTGTTACACACTTAATCCAGAAATTTATTACTCAATTTAAAACCTCTTAGAGTTAAATTCCTTAATAACAGTACTACCTCTTTATACCTATATATATTTTAAGCTTTTTTAAGTTTTTCACATCTCCTTTCTATCCCTTCCTTTCTCTTATTCGTTCTTCCCTGAATATTATGTTTTCAATTTGTATAATTTTTAAGTGTTGCATTTTTTTAATTTTTAATTTTTTGTTTTTCTATTTTTTTCTTGTCTTTTTTATTTCTCTTTCTTCTTTTTTTTCTCTCTCTACTATCATTCTATCCAACATATTTCCCACTTTGAGATTAGGATTTAGTTAACTCTCCCACTGCCTTTCCACATCCCTCTATGCCTATTTTTACCCACATCTCTCCCTAAACCTAATAATTTCTGTTTGCCAAATTCTTCTTTGTGGTTCGTAGCCAATTAATACATAGTTGTTTGATGTTGAATAGATATATCTGTTGAACTAGATTGTATCTGCAGACTTTTGACTGTGCAACTACAGACTTTGGTTGATGCTTGCCTTAAAATAGCGTGCTAGCACAAAACTGGTGTTACTTTCATTCCAAATGGGCAGAGCAACCCAGAAAAACACAAGAAAAATGGCAAGTCCGGGTATCTCAACTCCCACTCGTGATAATCAGGGGACAGAAAAGATAATGAATAATCCAGAGGAGGGTTCCCAAACTCTCAATAGTGTTCTACCAACACTACTGGTAAACATGGTAAATGAAAAGGTTGAAAACCTGCAAGGACTCTGTATGAGCATGATAGGGAGAGAGAGGAAGCAAAACAAAGGTTAATACAGGAATATCATGAGCGTGAGGAAGCTACTCAAAGATTGATACAGGAATTGCATGAGCAGCTTGAGAACACTCAAAGAGAAATAAAGGAATGGCATGACCAGGCTGAGAACTACAGGAACTGCGTGAACGTGAAGAACCTAATCAAAAAGTAACACAAGAATTGAGAGAGCAGGATGAGAATACAGAAAGATGACTAAAGGCATTCATGGAATCCATAAACAGAGAGCTGAAAGAAGTCAAGGGGACCACAAAGGGAATGCTGAATGGAACCCAACAGAAGGAATAGGAGTCCAAGGAAACCATAGACAAACAACTAATTGATTTGAGAATAAACACTGAACACCAAATTAAGGAAGTAAAGAAGTTCATACAAGATCTAAAACAAAGCTCCAACAAAGAATTTGAAGCCATCAAAACAGACCAACTAGAAGGAAAAGAGATAAAAAACAAAGTAGAAAGAATTGAAAGTAGGTTAGGCCATGCAGAAGATCGAATTTCAGGGATTGAATACAGCCTAGAACATACAACGATCCAAGACAAATCCAAGAAATATGATAGATCTATTCAACACTTGGAAGACACCATCAGAAGGCCTAACCTGAGGATAATGGGTGTAGGGGAGCACCTAGAGACAGAAGTGAATGGTCTAGGAAATTTGTTTAACAGGATCCTAGCAGAGAACATCCCAAACATGCAAAAACAAAGGCCTATTCAGATACAAGAAGCTTTTAGAACTCCAAATAGACCAGAGCAGAATAGGATATCCCACCATCACATTATAATCCACAGGATCAATTCAGACCAAGGAAAAGATCCTTAAAGCTGTAAAGGAGAAAAGATCAATCACCTATAAAGGGAAACTAATTAGAGTCACCTCAGATTTCTCAGCGGAGGCAATCAAAGAGAGTAGCCTAGAATGATGTATGCCATGCCCTAAGACAAACAATTATCAACCAAGAATTCTGTACCCAACTAAACTCTCCTTCATAACCAAAGGTCAAATAAAAACCTTCCATAGCAAAGAAAAATTGAAACAATACATCTCCACCAAACCAGCCCTACAAAAGATTCTTAAAGATGTCCTACACATAGAAAACCAACAAGACCACAATAAAGGCCAAGAAACTGCACCCAAACTGAGAATCCAAGAACTATAGGAAGAACCCAGTTGCTGTAGTCCCCAAGAAGGTGGATAAAATGGCAGGAACTCCCAAATACCTCTCAGTCCTATTTCTCAACATTACAGACTGAATTCATCAATTAAGCGACATAAACTATCTAGTTGGATTAAAAAGCAAGATCCTTTTATCTGCTGCCTTCAGGAGTCACATCTTGCCCATAAAAACAAACACATTTTCAATGTGAAAGGCTGGAACAAAATCTACCAAGCAAATGGCCCCCATAAACAGGCGGGAGTTGCAATCCTAATATCAGATAAAATAGACCTCAAATTAAAATTAGTGAGAAGAGATAAAGAAGGTCACTACATACTAATTAAGGGATCTCTCCTTCAGGAGGATATCAAAATCTACCAAGCAAATGGCCCCCATAAACTGGCGGGAGTTGGCAATCCTAATATCAGATAAAATAGACTTCAAATTAAAATTAGTGAGAAGAGATAAAGAAGGTCACTACATACTAATTGAGGGATCTCTCCTTCAGGAGGATATTACAATTCTAAATATCTATTCGCCAAACAACGGAGTACCCAAATTTATCCAAGAAACACTACTTTCCCTCAAATCCCACATAGATCCAAACACATTAATTGTTAGAGACTTTAACACACCACTTTCCCCACTAGATAGATCAACTCGGTAAAAACTCAACAGAGAAACCGCAGATCTAAACAACTGCATAGATCAACTAGATCTAACAGACATCTACCGAATATTTCACCCAGCAGCATCAGAATATACGTTTTTCTCAGAAGCACATGGAACATTTTCCAAAACAGACTACATTATAGGCCACAAAGCAAACTTGTCCAAATTCAGAAACATTGAAGTTATACCTTGCATTCTCTCAGACCACAAGGGAATAAAATTAGAACTCAACACCAAAAGCCACCACAGAAAATCCTGTAACACCTGGAGGCTGAACAACACAATGCTGAATCACGGGTGGATCATGGAAGCGATTAGAAAGGAAATTCAAATGTTCATGATATTCAACAAAAATGAACACACAAATTACCAGCTCCTTTGGGACACAGCAAAGGCAGTACTCAGGGGCAAGTTTATTGCTCTGAGTTCCTACATCAACAAATTGGAGAGATCTGAAACCAACAATTTAATGAGACAGCTGAGCCTCCTTGAAAAACAGCAGCAAGATGAACCCCAATTCAGTAGACGGAAAGAAATAATTAAAATTAAATCAGAATTAAATGAATTAGAATCCAAAAAAACTATAAAAAGAATCAACAAAACAAAGAGTTGGTTCTTCGAAAAACTTAACAAAATTGACAGACCCTTCGCAAATCTACTCAGAAAAAGAAGAGAACACACCCAAATAAATAAACTCAGAGATGAGATTGGAAACATCACCACAGAAACAACTAAGATTCAGAACATTATAAGGGAATAATTCTGAAAACTTTATGATAATAAGCTCGAGAACTTGGCAGAAATGTAACTTTTCCTAGCAAATATTGACATGCTGAAACTAAACCAAGATGAGTTAAACCGTCTTAATAGGTCCGTATCAAGCATTGAAATAGAAACAGCAATAAGAGACCTCCCAGCTAAGAAAAGTCCAGGACCAGATGGTTTTACAGCAGAATTCTACAAGGCCTTCAAAGCAGAGCTCACACCAATACTCCTCCAACTCTTCAATTAAATTGAAAGAGAAACTTCACTATCGAACTCATTCTATGAAGTCATCATAACCCTCATCCCCGAACCAAGCAGGGACTCATCAAAGAAAGAGAACTATAGACCCATTTCTTTGATGAACATTGATGCAAAACTTCTCAACAAAATTCTGACCAATCGACTTCAACAATTCATCCAAAAAATCATACACCACGATCAAACAGGATTCATTTCAGGGATGCAAAGCTGGTTCAATATACGCAAATCAATTAATATTATTCATCACATCA